GGAGGGCCCCCCCCCCAGCGCCGAGTCCAGGCCGCGCTCCCGGCCGGGCCGGGCCGCCGCAGCCAAAGCGGCCTGTCGCCCGCGCGTCTAACCCGGCTTCTCTGCCTGCCTTTCAGATGGGCTTCTTCCGCCGGAGGTACAAAGAAATCATTGAAGCCGAGAAGAGCCGGAAAGAGAACGAAGACAGTTGGGACTGGGTCCAGAAAAACCAGTGACCTGCCCCCCCAGTCGCCTGACCCACTCATTTCGCCTGTTGTCCTTGACCTTGTATCTTCCATATTTGGAAGAAAGAATGTTCTCCAGATTTTTCGGAGGCCCCACTGATGCTGTTCTCGTCTTCATTCTGTGCAGCCCAGGTGCCAACCTGGGGCAGCCACTCCGGCCAGGTCACATGACTGGAGGCCACCACTGCCCTTTAAAGATGAACTCTGAACTTTGGAAAGCAAGCTACAGAGCCGAGCAATATTTATGGATGCAACGTGCGCGGTCAACCCTCAGGGGAAAACTGTTACCTAAAAGTATTTTTATAAATATAAGCCTTTTATACTGATCATGTCTTTATATTTGTATCGATGTTTTATTATTTCTATTAAATAGTTATATAATTCACTCAAGCACTGATATCTGGCCCGGAAACACACGTGCATTCATACAAATTTTAAAGGATACAGATCTTGCTGTTCTTTGAAACTTGCTGTTAAAAAAGACTTGCAGATCAAATAATCGGAAGAAACCTCGTGTCATGAATCCACCGAGCCTGCAGTGCCGCCTATAAACTGTGGCTGCAGTAGGACCCCCAAGACGTTGCACAACTCTATTGCCTGGAGTCAAGTTTGGAGTTAATATGCTAAAGAACTATAAGTGCTTTTTCATATGTACCTTTCATCGGAAGACCCCCAACAGGAACTTGGATGGAAAACCTGATTCCTAGCAACAGGTCTGCTCTGCATCACCTCTATAGAGCAGACATCTCACCCTCCTTCCAATTGGATTAATAGAAGAATTGGAGCAACGCCAGTCTGTCATCTGGTAAACCTCAGACTGGCATCTCATCCTGGTGTGTGGAGTCTACACACCACAAGGACTAAATCAGTGCCCACCGAGCAGAGACTTGTGTCTGGACGCTGTGATGTGTTGCATTTATGCGGTCCTTTGAGTTCAGAGGTCTCTGTTTCCCCATCACGTTTGTTGTCCCAGTGAATGGTGATTGCAGATTCCTTCCAAGAGATGATCATTCAGCCTGTTACTATTTTTTAAAATAGTGTCTTTGGTGGAGTTCCCAAGAAGCAGACCCCAAGACAAGGATCTGCATGCAAGTAACTTAAGGAAGTGCTCCCAGGGGACCAGTATGAAAGTGAAAGGAGCAGGGCAGGGAAGGGGAGGAAGCCGGGGAAGGGTGCCATTTCAGGGAAAAGTCCAGTGGAGGGTAGCTTCAGCCTGATCCTGCAGAGGAGCTCTGGAGGGTAAGTTGCATCTCAGGGTTGTCCCAACCTGAGGCAAGGGAGCTGAGCCTTCATATTCTTGCATCCAGGGGAGATGTAAACTTTCTGCTCTCAGTTCCTACTGGCATACTGGCTCCAGTAGCTCAGGAGTAGTCCACTAAAGAAGAGCTGCGGGTGCACCCCAACCTGGGGAGGCACAGAAATGGTGCAGAGGGATCTGGGCATAGCCCCGGCCTCCTCCCCTCCCCCCTTCATGGTTGAATGCTGAGCTACGGCCTTCAGTGTCCAAGCTTCCTATCTGAGTGTCTACTGTGGGATGCACCATGCTGCCCATTTGGGGTGCATTGTGATTTTCTGAAAGGGCAATGAGACGATGGCTGTCGCATCCTCAGCACTGCACCTGGTCCCCTAGTGAACACTCAGTAACTTAGCAGCTATGGCTACTGCTACCACTGCTGAATAACATCTGATAAGAGAGAAAACGTGGCTGAGAGCAGGGCCTGACAGAGTGTCCTTCATGGCTCGTTAGAGCCTGCTCAAGCCCCAATCCATACAGTGGGCATCAAATAGGAATGAAACAGAACAAGATGAAGGATCTTTAGTATAGGACCTTGCCTACTGGGAGCTAACATGGTGGGGCTCTGGGAACATTGTTGGAAAGACACAGCCCCAGGGGAGAAAGGTTTTCTATACACTTGGCTGATACTTGCAAACATATGGGAAGTTTTGGCAAAATCCTGATGGTGCCGGGCAGCTGCAAACCTGGCATGGAACACGTGTGTCTTTTCGCTGCTTCTTACGTGTTGACCCCAACGTGAGAAGATTATGAAGGTGCCATGGTGACCGTGGGAACAGACAACAAAAGCCAGAGGGTCAGTGGGATGTGTGAACAAAGCTGATCTTAGAGTGAAGTCAGGGGTGTTGCGTCTGACGTTGGAGGCACAGAGGTAACTGCGGGGCAGATGGAGTCAGAGGAACCGGTTCTTGCTCAGAATTTGCCTATGAGTTTAACCAAAAGTAACAAAAGCAGTCCTTCGTGGGTTATAGTCACTCATTTAAAAGATATTTATGGGACCCCTGCTGTGCGCCAAGCACTGTGCTAGGTCCTGGAGGTTCCCCAGAGAACACCACAGGCACGTTTTGCCTGGGGGGAGACAGACCTTCCTGCAGTGGAGTGTAGCGTGTGGAGTTTTTTATGAAACCCCATTCGCAGCTTTCCTTTGATGGGCTTTTGGGCTGGTCCATCAGGGGCTTGGCCAGATGCTTTTATAGCCACTCACCAGCCTCCTGCAAGGGGCGCAGGCGCATTGGTGACCACATTGGTGACCATGTGGAAGGGTGACAGCCGACAGTTCTGCCAGCCAGGGGAAAAAGCCTCTCTCCAGCAAGGGTGGGCTCCTGTGCGCGGTGTCAGAGCTGGATCCATTTGCTCCTGGATGGTAGAACCACGTGAGCGGTCACATCCCTGGGAGGTCACTAGAACTTCGTAAGGCAGTTTTAAGAAAATCATAGTTGGCATCAGCAGGAGCAAATCCTGGCAGCCAGGGCAGGAACCTGTTTGGGAGGAATGGGCCTCGGCTTGTCTGGTCACACTGAGGAGCGGGTGGGGCAGCGACAGAGAAAGGAGTCCACACGGTTGGCACTCCCAGCTCCACCCGGGCAGAAGCCCTCGCCAGGCTCTCAGGGGAAGCAGACTGGGAGAGTTGTCATGTCTGTTACGCTTCTCCAGAATATTCTCTCACAGTTCCACAGCGCATTTTAATTTCTACCCTTCCCTAGCACGTTTCTTTAGGTTCACTGTGGGATCTTATAAGAAAGAGATTTTGAACCCGTGTGCCACAAGAATTTTTAAAACATGCAATACCTATTTAGACAGGGGCACTGACCTCTTTTCTCTTAGATTGTCAGATTTAAAAAATGACAACAGCCAAAACAGCAATAGCTATCCAGTGCAAATGAATCAAAACTATACCTATTTTTTGGTCAGATCAGCAAAAAATATATGTTTTTTGGTGTGCTGCAGAATTTTAGTAATTGGTTTATGTGTGCCATGAGATGAAAATTGCTGTTCTAACCAACTATCAGAAGGATTGAGATGCTTTTTAAATATGAAAAGGGCTTTGTGGAAATTGAGTAAAAGCATGACCTCTTTTGCAAAAACCATTTGCTGAGGCTCAGTTTACCTGGGACTCATGCGTTCGGAACATCCTCAGAGTGAGCCCTGGACCTGCCTCAAAGAAGAGGCTGTGAAGTTTAGGAGCAAGGAGGCCCTAGAAGAAGTGAGTGGGTCCATCGGCTGCTTGGTGACTGACAGGCACGTACCTGGAATTAACCACTGAGGCTCTCCCAGTCAGTCCTTCAGGAGAGTTCCACCAGCGTCACCAGGAGTATTCTGAAGTCTGGTAAATTTGTTGCAGAAAATCCAACAGAAAGTCCTTCCCCACCAAGTCATGGCTAGCCTGCAGTCCTTGAGCCAAAGGCAAAGAGGTTAACACAAAAAACCTGCAGGCCTCCTGGGATTTGTGGGGCCTGTGTTCAGTACGGCGCATAGTGGGTCCCTCAAGTGAAATGTGTGTCGTGTGCTGCCAGTTCATCCCTAGCAGAGCAATGTTTTAAAAGGTTAGTCTATTATTTTGGGGAAGGCATTATGCCCAGGGAATGCAGTTACCCATAGGATACATATGAAACATACCTGGTGAAAGCTACCTACACCCGATTCAAACTGCCCAGAACTTACAGGACCTGTGAAGGGTTAGAATTTGGGGGAAATGACCCTTTCGCAGACAAAATGCAGAAAACGAGTGTCATTTTGGAAATGCTGCAATCCGCAGGGTTCTAGTCAATGTTCTGTTCTGCGATACGGAGCAGTAACGTACACAGTGGAGACTAGTTTCTGAAACAACGAATGGCTGAAGGGAGGACCCTCTGGAAAGTCGTCTGATTTTCAGCACGTCGTGGGCATAATGAACGGATTTCCCACGCGGCGCAGTGCTAGCACAATGGTCTGGATTTCAGTCTTCGTTAAGGTTTGGGTTTTTTTATTCTGAAGTGCACGGTGTGACTGGCAGAGTGAGTGTCCAAGCTTTCCGAGTGATTAGTTGCATGGCAGGCACCCATGTACCTTCACTTCCAGAACTTGACTGATGCATTCGTGTATATTGCCATTGAGGAGTTTTGGCGGGAGGGGTGTGCCTCCCCGCGAAAGCCACATGCATGTAAAGACTATGCAGTCACTTCTACTTCACTTGCACTGTTTGGGAAATGCAGGTTTACAAAAATACATGTTTGGAATAAAGGAAAAATGGCTGCAAATGGTTCAGGAGTTCGGTCTGAAATTTCTGTGCTAATGAAGAGCTGGAACCTTTTGTAAGGATGTTAAAGATGCGGGGGCGGGGGTGAAAGTCCAGCTCATTGCTTGTGAACAACCCACTTAAGGGGGCTGAACTAACTGGTCCTGATCCTTGGCCTCCACTCAGTGGCCGCCACCTTCTCTGGGCACCACCTGCCTGCCCAGGGCCACACCTGAGACCCTGATCTTAAGGCAAATGTGCCCAAATTAAATAGAATACATTCCTCCTTGTTAGTACAGTGCTTCCACATCGATCCACCAGTCAGTCACTAAGCATTTTCCCAGTAGCTTTTTGGTCTCATTCTTACACATTTACAACATTGTGTTCTTAATTAATGATTTCATTAAAATTTCTTTTCCTCCCCTGTGGTTAAAATTCACACACATACACACCACACAGTGTAGAGGGGTGTGAAAAGATACACACTAAGGGGTTAAAAATGGCTGTCTTTAGTAAGTAGGATTGTCGGTGTTTCTGCTTTGCTTTTTGTTTTATTTTGTTTTTACTAGCCTGAATGCCCCCGTGCATGCAGTTTTCTACAATGCAGTTAGTTTTCTACAATGAGCCTCTATTTCTTTTATAACGGTGAAGCACATGCAAATTATTTTTAAGTAAAGATACATCCGGGAGGAGTACGAATGACTAAGCCAAAAAAGATTACGAACTGTAGGTCTGGAAGGGAAGAGATTTTTTTGCAGCAAAGAGCATTGATGAGCCTGACACTTAGGACAATGGTCCAGCAAATAATTTCAGGCATTTTAATTCCGGATGCTTCCTGGCTTAACAAGACCTGCCACCATTACTAGTGCTAATTAAATACGCTTCTCTAAGGTTGCCCAACCTGTTTTCCCTAAGCCCGAAGAGGCCTTGACAAACTCAGAGGAACTGAAAGATACAAAATTAACAGGAAGAAAAATCACGTTAGGAAAGTCTGCCTCCATTCAATTAGAGTTTTTCAGTCCAGCAGATTACCTCTGGTCCTTAAAGTCCATCTACTCACCAGGTTACTGTGCTTAGTAATAAAATTAATGTAAGTGCTTACTTAGATCTCTGTCTACACCACCAACCCGATTGGCCGCTGTCCCTCAGCAAAGCCATCGGTCCCTGAGATCGTGTTGGTTCATTCCATGTACACATCCAACTAAAGTGTGTATAACAAGGTATCACCAGCTCTGGGCGGAAGTCTGAGGCTGTGCCATGTGGGGCTGCTGCCAAACCTCCACTTTCCCTCGAAGTCTAGTCTACATCATTTTATATTTTATTTGATATGATTTTTCTGTAATTGAAAAAATCCCAAAGAGAGCTTCCATGATCCCATTCCTGGCTGTGGGACAGTCAAGCCTCATTCTCTAGGCCTCTGCATGTATTCTGTGCTTAAACCAGCCAAAATGTGCTCAGGTTTGTTGCTGCTGAGAATCCTATCTGATCTATACTAGTATCACGATGACTGCAAA